GTTGCAGACATATGATATCCTTAAAGCTAAAACTAAACACACCAACAAAACATCTGAACAACCAAAATACAATAAGTGTGGTCGACAGTATTATTTATGCTCGCCAGTGTGCATATCAGCATGGGGTTGTTTTAAATCAAAGAAATGCCCCTAACAGTACTTACATAGCGAAAAAGTCCGCCTCTTACAGTTCCTATGAGATTCTCTTTTTATTGATACCAGACCAATGATACCTACAGATTATTCAATGATTAATTAAATATTTCGTTTTGTTATTGCATTCATTTTGTATAGTACTGTATCATGTCTGTATATCTTTTGTTTCATTTGTTTTTCTTGGTTTTACACGCTCAAATAAATAAACCTAAACTAAACTAAACTAGATAATATTTTGATGCTTTGATTTTTTTCCCCCTTTCCAGGTATGATTCGACTCTAAAAAGCCCAGACCTGTCCAAACATGTGGAGTACCAACAACAATCAGTATTTTTGCTTTGAACCAGAGATAAATGAGGCCAGGCTTGAGTCGAATTGAAATAAATGGCTTTAATGGCTCAAATGAATAAAGATAAATGTTGGTTGATGGGTAATATGGTGTTTAATGGGATTTAAGATTGGCCAAACTCTTTTTATCCTGTGGTGTAACGGTAGCCATGTTTTTTCTATTGGGTGTTGCCTGCTGCATGGTATCTTCATGATGGATTAAAACAAACCCTTATGTTTGTCTGATCATAGAAGTATCCAAATACAAAGATTTATTTGTCTCTTTAATCAATGTATTAAGCAGGGATTACCCATGCTTCAGTTTTGGTTAAATATGCTAATTATGCTACGTTACATATATGAAAGAGTCTTATGTGGTCTTGTATTTGTTATGTAAGTGTGAGTGCAGAGATAGGCATTGTGTAATTACTTGTTATAGAATCATGTAGAAATAGTTTGAATTATGCAATGCTTTTAAACGTTAGTTTCCAATTTCAGCACAGTATTACATTATTTCTGAAAAAGATAAGTTATTCTTATCCATGTGGCTGGAAACTATAGTGACAGAAAGCATTGACAAAAGTTCAAAATAATCTGTTTTGATGATTATTTGACGTATTTGGATGACCAGGGTTTGCATTTTTTCATCACTAGCTATAATTTTGCCTGTGTGCTAATGGGTTTAGTCCTGGCACAGCATGTTGTGTTTACGCTCACACTTCGCCATCTTGAGCAGGGCTAGGAATGCTTCAGTAGGTATTTGGTATAGTGTTGTTGTCCTGTATATGATGTGCCCTGTTGTTATTGTTGTTGTTATTGTCATTGCTGTTGTTGCTGCTGCTGCCCAACCAATCTGGAAGCCCGCAGAACTCAACGTAGGTCCCAGCGTCTCTCTCACTTCTGACACTGCATGGCTGCTGTCTCACATTTAAGATCTTTCCTCAGGAGGAAACAAAACCAAAAAAAGAAAGCCAAGCCCCCCCATCTGTGCGGCTCTTAACCATCAGGGCCGTCTCAAAGGACTCCACAGCCGCCACAATATGAAAACAATACTCAGTCATTACCTCTATTAGCAGCTTCTGTAGCATGTTTTTGTAACATGATGAAGATGGATGAGATTTTCCGGGCTCTTTCTTGTAACAGTGAGCGGATCAGGGGGCAGAACAGACCTCACTGAAACACACTACAGCTTGATATTGAATTATTTAGTGTGCATCTGTCTGTAAATGCCAAGGTTAAGGAGACTTTGGTTTGTCCCACGTCCGTGCTGTGATTAGTTTAAAAAGGACCAAGTTGAAAGCGAACACACAGTATGTCTTTGGGAGTTTGATATATTAATACTGGATGTTACTGAGATTGTTTCTGGTTTAACACATGATTATGATTTAAATGATGTCACTGTGCCCTACAGTGCTCTATAAATCATTGTCATTGTTCACGGTGCTATGAATCCCTCCATCGTCTCCCATTTGTCCATTATCCTTCACAATCCATTAAACCAGAGGTTTCCAACAGGTGGGCTGCTGTCTACAAGTGTGGCCATTTTGAGTGGGTGGAAATTCTACCCTGAAATATAACCTCTGTAATGGTGCTTACCAAGTACCATCTCCCACATCCTATTGACTATAGGCACTAATATCTTAACAAATAGCCTTTTGAGGTCGGCCTTCTGTCGTAGTGTTTATACCCTTTAAATAGTGCTTCCCCTCTCAGAGAATAGAGTTTAGTTTTGGTTATATATGGTGTTGTACTCTAAATATGGATTTAGTGAGAGGATTCCGACTGAATTAGAAGAAACTGCAATCACAAAACTCCATTTAAAAAAAAAATGCTCTCTCTCTCTCTCTCTCTCAGCCCCAGTTGTAATTAAACTATTTTCTCATTGTTATCCCTATGTCCGACTCCACACAGCATATCATTCACTGAATTGGTTAAAAATACACCCAATGAAGTCTCTGGCTAGACCAGTTGGGAACCAATGCATCCAACCATCCTTACCATTGATTCCATTTCAACGAACATTTCATTTCACATGTCTTTGTACAGAAAGAGAGGATTATTAATATTAAGGTTGACGGTGAGCCACCATAGGTTGCAGTTTGTAATGCAAGCTATATTTATAAAATGGGTTCCCGACGTGACACCACTGCACTTAATGACATATGTGTTGTTTTGTATTTAACCAAAAAGGTTGTACAAAGAAAAACATCACTTATCGTAGTTTTTCCTTTAGCCCTTTCTAAAGGAGAATGAATGAGGAAGCTTCTTTGGAAGGATCAAATTCAAGGATATTTTCATTTGCATGAGTTTCAGTGGTAGTAACAGTATTTCATTTTTAACCTGACTATACTTTGATTTCTGATCTTTCCACTTCCTTGTTTTTCCTGTCCTTCCTTCCTCTCAGGACTTTTTGGGTCAGACGTTCTGTACTCTCGGGGAGATTGTTGGATCACCAGCCAGTCGACTGGAGAAATCAATGGGGTGAGTAAGAGCTTTCGGAACATTTCTCAATGACTAAATACCCCTGGCTCCAATTGGATTGAGTAACACCATACTGTGCTAAGTGGGGAGTTAAGACAGAAGAAAACAGCTTTGGACACAATGACTGTTCTGAGGTATAAGGTTAATAAATTTAACTTAATTTGTACTTACTAGACCAACCAGTACAAACTGCAAGGTCATAACGCAGCAATAGGACCACAGAGAGAGCATTAAGAGGAGGAAGAATGAGAATCACATTGTTGGTTTAGCAAGACATTTATCAGACAGAGAAGGAGAGGAAGTGAAGGGGAAACAACACATCCTACAGATGTTTTCCTCAGATAATTATTGTCATTAAAGAAAAGGGCAAATTGCAGAACAAAATTACACAAATTACAGCTCACCCCTTCAGCTTCACACGCTGAGAAAAATGTTGTGTTAATGGGGTGTCCTTTAATCTGTCTTTATACATCTATCATCCATGATCATCATTATCAGTGTGATGGGCTATTGTGTTATCCAGGTGAAGTAATTGAAATTCAGTCGCATTCAGTGAGATGTTCTGGTTCTCCTCGCTGAATAAGGCAATGTGAAGAACACAAGTGGGAAAAAATGAACACTGCATGAGATATTATTGTCATTAACTAAACAAACCAATATTGGTCAACATGTGTCACTTGAATTAAATAAATAATATTTAAGATTACTAAAAAAAACGTTATTCTAAGCTGACATTGGAGAAACTGAGATTGCTGCAGATTAGATTTATTGTAGAATCTAACATGATTTAGTGTTTTTAAGTGTTTCAAAAATAATACAACAGCCGGAACTGTATTGTATGTTCAATTGTGCCTTTAAACAAGGATATAATGTGGCCATCCCTACAACAGAAGAACACACACACACACACACACACACACACACACACACACACACACACACACACACACACACACACACACACACACATATACTACTACTACTACGNCAGAAGAACACACACACACACACACACACACACACACACCATGTATACATCACTTCAGGGGACATTACATTGACTTACATGCATTTCCTGGAGACTTATCCTAACCTTAACCATAACCAACACATGCCTAACCATAACCCTTACCCTAAACCTAAACCTAACCAAATCTTCACCCCAAAAATTAATGATCCTCCTCATGGGGACCTCCATTTTGTCCCCATAAGGGAGGAAATTACGATTGAATGATTGACCTTTTTTTGGTGCCAATATTTTCCCATTTCCAAGCCAAAAAAGCAACAGATGTGATTATTATAATGTTAATGATTGTTCTGTCTGTTTGTTCCAGTTTAAGGCATAAGTGGAAGACTAGACTTAGTTGGTCATGTTAATGGACTGAGGCCTAAATAATTAGTTGTGTTTTATCTGTAACAAGTCAAAATGTCTGCCGTGAGAATCATTATGGTATGTTTTTGAATCCCCAGTACACAAAAACTATGCTTACACTGCTGTTTAAAGATAATAGGATGCAACCCTTTATATATACAGTCTATGGATGCAACACATGACTTTTCCACTTCCTAAAATGCAATGAAGCTAATTCATAAAGTGTGTGTGTGTGTGTGTGTGTGTGTGTGTGTGTGTGTGTGTGTGTGTGTGTGTGTGTGTGTGTGTGTGTGTGTGTGTGTTGGTCAATGTGTGTGTGTGTACTTGTGAGAGAGAGGGATACAAAGAAAAAACAGAGAGCTTCCGCCAAACAAGACATCTGTTTCATCTGAACATCAAAGGCCCTCTGCTCTTTTATGATTGCTTCAGATTTTACAATTCTCTCTTGCCACAGGCCTCATATTTTTATTTAATAGATTAACAGTCTCTTGTCATCTATATTTACATAGAAGCAACAAAAAATGTAAACTGACAGCAGAGTGACGAAGATAGCTGCCTTTGGTTTGATATTTCTGAAAAAACAACCACTTCAATTAAATGAACAGAAGATGCTGTGAAAATGTGCGCATCTCACACATACTTCAGTGTGTAAGAAGAGATTCAGTGTTGTATGCAAACAAAAATGTTTATGTCATATTTTTTATTCAAGCCTTCGCAAATGTTCACACTGAAATATGCCTATCAACTTGACATTTGAATATTAGAGTGCAAAGTAGATTAAGGGTGTTTTATGTAAATAGGGTACGTGTGGACTATTTCATAGAGATCAAGACTCATAAAGAAACATGCATGGCTTTTAAAACCTGATGCAAAGAGTGTGTAAGCATTTTTCTGCTTTATGGAGGCTAAAACTTTCTGTATGGACAGAGTTTTATATATCTGGCCCCTGGCATTTCTGATTGTGATGACTAGGCAAGAACGTTTTTAAATCGTGGTTTGGAGGGTGAAAAGTTTCTTATAATTTCTCCCCTCTGAGCCATAACACTTGAAGAGATTGTCGATGGAATACGGGCCAGTAAGCCAAGTGTGAGTCTGTGTGTGTGTGTACGTTCGTGTGTTTCGGCGGTGAAGTGATGATAAAACTATTTTCCTACATTTAGAGTAAACAGCATCTCACTTTGAGAGGGAAATATGGCCTATTATATTACCATAAGCCGTACGACCCAAACATCCCACTAGCTAATTCAGTATGCTGCTGCTGTTCTGTTCGAGTATAACTACAAACAACATGTTTACACAAGTGAGAAATTAAATGAGCAAAGGATCCTTTAGTTTTTGCTGTGCTTGCAATGAAAAATCCCTGTGATTGCAGGGAAAGCTTATTTGCCACAGGTTTGCTGATAATGGAGAAAAGGTCTGAATTCAAACAGTTTGATTACCAGCTTATCTCCTGCATTTATTTAAATCCATACTTTATTATTTACAAGGAATAACAAGTAGGAGCACTGGACTACTGTCTAAGCTTGTAATTTACCTACAGTATGTGTGTTTTTTAAGTTTATCCTCTCACAGCAATGAGATCATTCATGGACAAAGCAAGATCGACTGCCTTTAGAGAACTTATTATTCAACATCTTTGTTTAGGATCAGGCAGAGAGGTGTTGATTCAACTCTGTTGACAGACTTTCTAGTCAACTAATTTTGCATGTAGTGCCAGCAGCAGAATATGATTGTTTTCAGGGAAATATCTCAACATCTACAAGACGGATAGCCCCAAAACGTTGACTATACATTCATGGTTCCTGTTGGATTGATTACTGTAACATTTGACAAAGACATTCTTGTCCCCCCTTGGGATATCCTGTTATCATTTTGGTGATCCACTGACTTTTCACATGGCACCATCATCAGTTTAAAATGTTATTGCTTATTGTGTCTATTATTATGACCAAAATAAAAAATGATGACCTTCTCAACAGTCTCATCTGCAGCACTAAGCACGTTGTGCTAGCAAATGTTGGTAAAAACCCTTTAATTCACGATGTGGCATCCTGCAAAGTGATGCTAGTATGTTGGATGGATCATTTTAAAGTAGAGCTGCGACGATTAGTCCATCAACAGAAAAATAGTGGCTAACTATTTTGCAAATCAATTAATTTTCAACTTTATTTTTCAGGCAAAAACATGTGTCTTATGGCACACTGTGGAGTTACAGTAAACACTAACATTAGAAAAGTCAAAACTAACAACCAGACTTTAAAAGCATGTTGCCACAGTGGAACTCTTACTTTGATATATTTCATCTTCACCTTCATTTCATACAGTGTTTATATACTGTACAGATAAGAGTTCTTCATCACATGGCACATTTCAAAACATCAATCAAATACCAAGCTATAAAGCAGCATGATGCAATACAGTACACAACAATCAAAGAGGAATACAAAAAGATAGAATGACAACGACCGTAATAAAAAAAAAGGCACAAAGAAAATACATTTGGAAGGACATTATAAACCTACTTTAAAGCTCTGCCGAGGTGAACTAACAACCTCTAACCATCAGCCAAAGATAACAAACAATTGAAACATTTTGAAAACAAATTGCTGAAACCTTGGGCGGAGCAATTCAACAAGGGAGAATAATATTCTGCTTGTGATTAATTTCCTTCGTTCGGGGTTGTTTTATTTTGTACACAGACTTTTTCTTCAAGGCACTCCCTGCACCTGCACATTAAACATCTGGGAGCTGACCATAAAACATCCAAAGCCCAGAAAGCAGCAGATGGGGGATAAATGGTTCACTCAGGGACTCACTGATGATAGGCTAGCAAGATAATTGTTGACATTCCTTTAACTTTTTCCTCACGGCATCACTCAAACTCAAAACATCAAGACTTGGCTTTTCAATTGCCATCAGGCTGCTATCGCCTACAGTCAGCCACTGCGCTATGGTTGTAGCTTTTTCTACATCTTGTTTATGCAACATATTCCACTGTACACTAATAGCTCGCTATGTTTTATTCATGGGACACTACTGGTTCAAACTATGGATTTTGCATCCCTTATGTTTATGCAGTGAATCCTGTGTTGCATATTAGAATACCCAGCGAATGACAGAGACAAATAATGTACAGATATGGACACCGTGTTATTAAGAAACTTCGAGGAGAGAGGGAGATGCAAGGAAGTTGAATTTGTACTACAAAGAAGGAAATGAGGGAAGAGAAAAAGTGAAGTCATGATTAAACAGAAAAGACTTCAGAGAGATGTTGAAAGGGGGGAACGGGAAGGAGTGGGTGTGTTTGAGCATGCTTGGCCTTTTACCGTTTCCAAATTCCCTCAATGTCAGTGTGGATTAATAGAGCACAGTAGCGAAATGGAATTATATTATTTGTGAATGTGAATAGAGGCATGTATGCAGAGGAGGAAAACGCAGTTGGGGATGATGACAAACTAAGCCTGACACCAGAGACTCCCTATCTCGGCCCCGGGCGCTCCTGCGAGATTTTGTTAGATCTGCAACCATAAGAACCTTTGAGATGGGATATTATTACTTTAAAAGTGTAAGCACAGTTACAGGAGTTATGTACAAGTTTCGGAAGTATCTATTGCACTTTAAGAGATTA